CACTCTTTCGTAGAAACAAACAAAAAAAAATCCCATACTCTCCATTGCTAATTTGTCTTCCCGCTCATTATTATTTGCCAAGTCACATGGAACAGCAGAGCTTTATACCTGCTTGGAAAAGCTCAGCTTTTATAAACAGTACGTGTAAAATGCATTCTCAAACTCAGTTTGGCCAGCATCAGTATGAAGTAGACTCTCTGCAACATCAGATATTTCAGTTGTTTGGCCAGCGTACGAGAGCGTGGGACATAGTTCTGGAGAAGATTTTTTTTTTTTTTTTATTTTAACACAGCCAGCGGAAGTTAGCTGAGTTTCACAGAAATAGCTGCCAGTGTGTAAGCTGACACATTCCATGCACCACAGAGGTTAATACATTCATTCCTATTGTGCCTTTGTATGAAAAGCTACACTGTCTGTGTGTTAGTTTCTGATGCTGTGAGTTACAAATACCGTAGGCGGCTTAAGAATCATGGGAGCCATAAAAGTCACCCCTCTGAAATGAATTTTGAGGAGTAACGTCAGTATGCATAAAGTGCTTATAATAGCCAAACACACATGAACACACATATGGAAGAAAGAGGAAAAGGAAAAACAAAAATGGAGCTAGCTAGCAATGAGAGAGTAGAGGTCTGAGTCTAATTCTTATTTTTGTGGTTATTCAAGCTAGTCCTAAAATAATGCATTAGTGCTCCAGTAAGTCGGGAGGACGGTTTACTTTCATTTCAGAACCAGCTTTGGGCTGTATCTCTGCATGTGAAGGGCTGAAGTATTCTGATTAAAATAGGCTTTATCTCAATGACAGTTTCCTTATAAAAAGGTGGGCTTTGTGCAAATGTGACTAACTTCATAAATATCTTAAGATGAGTTTAGGTTGTGGAAAATTTCAAAACCTCAAAGGCCTCTTGCTTCTGTGCAAAGGAGAACATCAAAATGAAAGTATTGACCAAATTCACCTATGTTGTTTTGCTACATGTTATTCAGTCTGGAATTAAAGGGAGAGTTTGGCAGCCAGTCAGTGGGAGAAGTTCAAATTACTAACTCCATAGACTCCTTCAAATCTTTCAGACTTGATCTCTAAGGGTGTATATAAGCTAGAAAAAATTTAAAGGTATCTTCTTTCATTTCCTCACAGTAATTTTTAGCTATCAGCGCAACCTGTCTAATAGAAATTGGACATGCCTCTTAATTTCTGGTGCCATTTGAAAGAGTTGGATAGGCTGAATGTGCTTTGAGAAAGGTTTTATGATATAGTACTTAAAATGGACTGTCACCCATACTAGCATGAGTGGAGCTGAATCTAGCGTAGCTGCTAGCCTAGAAGGAATGTGCCTTCCAAACTCTGTTCAAATCCAGTTTAGCTCAGGGATGACTGTTTTGTCAGTCATGAAGAAACATTCCTGATTTTTGTCATGAAGAACTGGTCCACAACCAACTTTAAATGGCATGAGTGAATGTGCAGCCACTGAAGTCTCTTCCAAGGAGGAACTCTTCTTATTTCAGACATTCCCCTGCATTGCATACAGCCATAGTGTTCCCTACAAACCCTCTGTCATCTGGTCATCAGACAGTCGAAGGTCAGAAAAGTACAATGTTCCTTCTTTTCTTCTTTTTCTATCCTCCCTATCACTCATCTTTCAGGCTTTGTATACTAAAAGCAGTAGTTTTCAGGGGAGATCAAAGAACCTGACACAATACTCAGTTTGTTGCTCCCGGCAGAATTTGGTACACAACGTTATCTTAGTGAAGACAAAGCCAAGGATTTTTTTCTTGTTTGTTTATACAGTGATAAACATGTCTTTGTTATTTCATTAGAGAATTTTAAGTCGGGGCATGGCTTTAGTAGTGTACTCTGAGATCAACAGGAAGTACTTTTTTTATCCCTGGTTGCCAAAATTGAGTTTTCTTTTTGTAAATGAAATGCATACTGCATTTATAGAAGAACAGCTAGCACCTGATTGTTTTCCCGTGGCAAAGATACTCTTTGTCAGTGAAAATGTAATCGCTCATTTTGAAATGCCCTGTTGATTCCCACTGATGAGTTCGTAATCTGAGGCCCTCCCTTTCTCTCCCTGCCTCTGAGTCCCCACTGGGGCATACAGATTCTCTCATCTGATACCCGCCACGATTAGCCCTACGTGATTGCCTTTATTTCCAGTATCCACAGAGAGACTAATGACTCGATAAGAATGGAAACTAAAACTTACATTGTTAGGTGTCGCGAAAGGAGTAGATGGATGGGGCCATGTTGGAGAAGCTGGAACTAACATGATTCATGCTTGAGCCTGTCCTCTGATAAAGAGCTATCGACCAGCCCTGCATATTCACTCATACCCGCTTTTAATGACATAAATGCCATTTGGAAAAAAACTTTTTAGCTTTCCTCTGTTAATGAGAAGATTCAGTCCCAAACATCGTGCGAAGTGTCATTTTAAAATACACCCTCATTGCAGTAAAATCCCTCTTGGTTAGCACGTGAGTTTCTTATGTTGGTTTTTCCCCCCACAAGTTTCATATGGTCTCGTTCTTCAAGGGTGATGCAAGCATGGTGGCTCTGATTCAAATGAACGAGAACAAAACTGAACATAGCCTTGCCACTGTGTTTTACTGAATAAAGCTTATGAATCAACAGTACCACTATACGCCTTATATGAACGTGATGTTTTCCTATACAGTTCAACAGATGAGGGAATTAAATTCCTCCATCTTGAAGATCAACATTCAAAGCTGTAAGCATAGATATAATGTAACAAATGTTACACCAAGTAAACTGAAGTGATTATTCAAATACCAGTCATCTTGGGGATGCCTAGTATGAAATAGATGTTTCCAGAAGTCTGAGCAAATTCAGTATAAAAAGATACCTGGTGGTTTCTTTCCTGAGAAAAAATAATTCCTGAGTGCTTTCTGAGCATTAGGAAACAAAGGACCTGATCTGAAAATTGAGAGGAATCTGCACCATTGGGAGTGCGAATGGTTCAGATTTCCCAGATTGTTTGTTTGATAACCAAATAGTGACAACGACTGATTAATTGGCAGTTATACAAATGCTGTATGTACCCATAACTATATTGAAAGATAATGCTGGATGTATAATGACAGCTGCCCGTGTTGTGTTACTGTATGGACATTTTGTGTCCTGTCAAAACAATATAGCAGTCTGATGTAATACAGACTTCCTGCAAACATCTGCTCTTGGAAAAACACCCCAAAAAGTTTTGAGTGCCTGCGTTCAAACTGTCTTCCCTCTTCATCTTAGCATGAAACAGGAAGGACATCATGGTTATTGGTGGTTGTGTTCGACTTTATGACCAAACCTGTCACTGTTCCAATCAAGAGAACCTCATGGCAACATATGGGTGTGCAAGCATTTCAGCTGGGTCTCAGTTCTGAAGACCAGCTTTTTGAACAATCCTGATTGATTATCTTTGGCTATTCATATAAAGATGATGAGCAGATTTACACCTCAAACACATCTGGAAAAATAATTCAGCCAAGTTTTTTAGTCTGCACTTTCTTTGTTAAGTACTTGAGTCTTTTTTTTTTTCCTTACTACAAACCTGTCTTTTCAGTGGACTGAATTTCAGTGGCATTTAGCGTACGTAGTCTGGACCACGTTTTTAGAAGAATTTGGGCTACATGCAGGCACTCACCTAAGTGGCTAGATTTTGAGAAAAGTTAAACCCATTTGAAGTTTGAGTGCTTCTCAGAGTTGCTCATCTTGCTATTATATAGGTGTCTGCCTCATTACAAATCTTCCTTTGGAAAACCTTGCTTCTAAATATCTTAAGGGTCACATAATCATCTGTGATTTCCATGTTTGTTTTACTTGAAGGAAACAGAAAGGATAGAGCTATTTAACAAGTATACAGTGACCGATCAGAAGATAGACTGTTCCAATGGTCATATGAGTACTACACAAAACATCTGTTGCCTATGAAACAAAAATAAAGCATGAGGACTGCCTGCTCAGTTAGATACCTTTTTTTTTTTTTTCTTACATACTAGCTTCCTTTTGGCTTCTGTACCGTTGCAGGAATGAGCTACATCTCTCCACTTGCCTGCTCGGGTTATTTCTCTGAGGTATCTCCCCCTCTCTCTTAA